AAAAAAAAAAAAAAAAAAAAAAAACCATGTTTATTTTCATCACACGACTAAGTTTAACAATCAACGGTTCTATGTTCAGGGACGAATCTATGTATATGCTAGGGGAGCCATTATCTCCTCCAAAATTTGTAATTTTTATCATATATACATATATATATATATACACATATATGATAAGTATATCATTTTTTACATAAACTCATGCAATTATATTAAAACAATAATTGTATTACTCTTTCTACTAATAATTAATCAACTACACTTATAGTCTTGTTATATTTTTGCACAACTTTTTTCTAATTTAAGTAAATGAATGTATAATATATATGTAAAAAACACAAAAAAAGGGTAAATTTATAAAAAGAAGACCATATAAGACATGTTTAATGGAAAGAAAAAAAATATCAAGAGTATTAGTAGTGAGTCAATCATTAATGAAATTCAAGAAAAAAACGTTCAATCAAAATGTGTTGTTGCTAAAATTTGAAAATTATAATTTATGTTGCATTATTATTAATTATATATTTATATTATAATCAAACTTTATATTTTTTATGTACATTAAATTAAATCTATGATTATTAAAAAATATGCAGTCCCCCTAAAAAAAAATTCTAAATCCGACCCTGGTAGGCTATGTTTCTGTTTTAGTTAACGTGAAGACATATGAATGATATAGAAACACGGAATGTGAAGCACATTTTCGAGATTCAATTGTCCATTTTAGTCATCTCTTTTAGAGTATTTTTGGTTTGTGTTACAATTATGATTAAGTAGTATTTTGAAGAGGATAACATCATCAATGTGTGCATGCCACTTAAGCGGTGTGCATATTAACTGTGTGTCCACCGTAATGTGAAGGTCGTTTTAATGTTGTACCTTAGAAAATACTTGGAAGACTTCAAAACGTTGTTATCACCTTCATGAACTCTCCTAACGTGTGTTGCCTATTTACGCTTAAGATTGCCTTTAGTTAGGAACTTTCTTTTTACTCAAATTTTATAGAGCTCTACGTTTATTCATTTTAGGGTCTATTTGTTCTTGTGGGATGTGTTTTTGTAGAGTTCAGGGCCAATACAAGTGATTGGTTATTTTTCATTGGAGCCCAATTTTTTTGGCCCTTTAATATGAAAGATAAAGCCCAATTACATGGCCGTTCGTCTAGGCCCGATTTGTAGAATTGTTATGGGAAAGACTGAGAATTAACGAATTTAGTGGGTGATTGTTTATACATTCAACTAAAAAAAAGTGAAGACACAAGCTCAATTCGCTCGCTTACTTAACGAATCAACCCAGAACAGCTAAACGAGCTTGTTTATTAGACAAATCGAGTTAAACTTATTCACGAATAGCTAATTTTTTTTTTTTTTATAGGGTTTAAATAAAAAGGGCGAGTCAATTTGTTTGCAAACAAACATTTTATATTCATGACCAGTCCGTTTAAAGATTTTTAAATTTATTTAACAAATCGAGACGAACGGAGATGAGCTTTCATGAGCTACGAGTCAAATTCGAATTGACTCATTAATTAGTTCAACACGAGCTCGAAGATGAACTACTCAGAAAAGAATATAATAATCTTGTTAATATGATAAATTAGTGAGGATAAGCATCTCCAATTAATTACAATACTGTAAAAGAAGAATTATCATTCTCCAAATATTATAAATAAGATTTTCAAGGATCTTTAAATTCTTAGAGGAGTGTATTTTCTTTAATATACAATTTAGCATTTTATTTTTCTTTTTTAAGGAGAAAAAAAAAATGAATATATCAAGACAGCTGTTGGGCTGTACTGCATGCATGGAGCCCAACTCAAGATTCTTAGGCCCTTTAAAGCCTTTTGCTAACAGTAAACTAGAAAGTGATTAAAGATGGGAATGGGCCCATGAAAACGAATAGGCGGCGAAATTGGCTGTCATTTCTTTTTTCCCCTTTTTTTTTGTTTTGTAAGTGACTTTTGAGGCTGTTTTTGGGGCAGGCAAAAATTCTCTTTCACCATCCATTAAAGGGTCAAAGAAAACAAAAAGATAAGTTATTGTTAAACCTCGTCACAAGTAGAGCTGCAAACGAATCGAGTCGAGTCAAGCATAGAGTTTGTCTAGCTTGACGTTCCATGTAAAATGGCGTTCTACTCGACTCGTGAAAAAATAAGAACGCTCGAGTTCGACAAGGCTCAAGTTCTGCTCGAAATTTTGACAACTAAACTTTAGATATAAGAGCACTAGTTTTAATCTAAATAGGCAATTTTTTTGTTAGTGTTATGATATTCTTAAGTAAACTATATGGGGTACTCAAGTAAATAAACAATCGAGTGACTCGTCGAGCTTACTAGTCTTTTGAAATGATGCTTGAGGTTTGACTCGTTTGCTGATTGAACTGCTCGAGCTCGACTCTTGAGTTTGACCGAGCTTGAGTCGAACATTGACTCGAGCGCTTGTAAGTGGTTCGTGAGATTCTCGACTCGTTTGCGGCCCTAGTCACATTGACCTAGGGTCGAATTCTGCCCGTCTCATTGGTCATTTTACATCATGTCTTTTCTACATCAAGACCCACAACAAAAATTAATAGGAAAAAAAAAATGAAAGTTGAAAAGAACCATAGAGACATTTATTGCCTTTCATTTTTTCTAATTATGATAACATCCCAATTTTTTTCTTAAGTGTTTGCTCCAGGCAGTTTTCTGGTTTTAAATTTATAGAACCAACTTGTGCAAATTGATGAATGAGACCCCTCTTCACTAGAATAAATAATAAAAAAAATAAAATAAAATAAAAAAAATACGGTCGATGTTTCAATAATTGTACAAATGCATTGTTTTCGTATAGTAAATACATATTTATTGTACGAAACCGCAGTTTTGTTTGTATTGTATTTTGAAGTACTGACACTTGAAATATGAAAGTACATATATGTTGAAAAAATACGACTGACTAACCATTAGACTACCAAACATAAGAACCACTAATGCAACATTTATCATTCTTTAGCAACCAAAGATTTATAAACGAGATCGAAAGTTCGAAAAATAACTGGGGCATTATCGTATTCGTATCTATATAATAATCCAATGCCAAGTCTGCTTGTTTTTATCTATGAAAGAAATTCAAGAACAAAACTGGGCACACCTTGCATTATTATCTGTAACTAATCATATTCATTGCTAATATGCAACTTGAAAGCATACATAAATTATACCCAACTTATTGTTTGAACAAAAAAATAAAAATAAAAAAATAAAAAAAAAAATAAAACAGTTGAATAGGACTTGTTGTTCAAGGGACTTGTACAGTACAACTGATTTAGTGCTTTCACATCTCCAGCTTCACATGGCCTGCCTCCAGTACACCTGCAAATATCAAAAATTTATGTCCGAATTGAGCTTTTATGATTATGAATTCATGTAAGGTAGGTAAAAAAAAAAGAAACTAAAAATAAAAAGTTCCCTTCGAGTTAAGTGTGTTAAAGTACGGCCTATCTTCCGAAATCACTAATAACCAACCGATAGTTCATAATTGTGTCTATTTTACAAATTTGCTTCTTCTAATGTTGAATGATTAACACATTTTTATTATTATTATTATTATTATTATTATTATTATTATTATTATTATTATTATTATTATTATTATTATCCAGTAAAATACATTTGAAGTCACTTATGAATTGAAATTCAAGAAGGAATTACTTGTGTTTTCTGGTGAATATTGTATATATGACAATAAATAGACAATAAATAGACAATAGAGAGGGAAAAGAGTTGATGTGTTGGATCATTTAATTCTTCTCTAAAGTGGAGGACAAACAAAAACAAAGATACCTTATAAGCCAAACTCCACTGTTGGAGGACCACAAAAGCAATAATAGTTAGAGCATCTCCAATGGTCAGACGATTGCTCTATTTCATTGCCACGTCATCCAAAAAAAATCCCACGTGGCATTGAAAATTTATTTAAAAGTATTTTTTTTTCTTGATATTCTCTATTCTCCAACCAATTATTATCGAATTATTCCACAATTTACCTTTCGGAGACACAATTTCTTAATTTCCTATCTTAATTCTCTATGCTCTTATGTTTATGTAGTTTTCGTGGGGTTATCTGCTCTCTAATCATTAATTGGCGCACATCGAATATGCTTAATTAATTTTCACAAAAACACCATAGAAAAAAGACACCAAAAAAAACACACAAAAAAAAGGTCGGATTTTGAAAATGGCGAGTTCTTATTTACCTGTAAACGGCTGAGCCTCGGACATAAACTGCGTTGCTTGTTCGTTTTGGTACTCCATGCTGTAGAGATTTTGCAGTTCATTCTCCCATGTTAGCTGCTGAATTTGCTGCATGTAAAGTTTTTTTTTTTTTTTTTCCATCAGAAAAGCATATATATAACTTTCCAAAAAAAGAAATCCCTGCAGTTTGATCTAATTACAAACAACTCCAATATTTTCTCAACAACTACAAATAGCCTATTGCAGAATGAAAGTTACAAGCATGTACATAAAGGGCTCTTCAGTAATAAAAGCTACATTCATAAAGTGAAGTGTGTGTAATAACTGATGTTAAAATCTTCTTACATTTAAACTGGATTGTGAATCAAGAAATGTCTGAGGGATTGAAACAGGAGCACTTATAGTCCTCCTGAGAGTAGAATCCATAGCATTTTGTCCTAAATTGTCAAACTGAACCATAGCCGGATTTAGCACGTCTGATGAATTCCCGACTGAAGGCATGCCGGAAGTACAAGGCTGATACATTTGTGGGCATAAATTCTGAAAAGAAAAACACACACATTGTGATCGTAAAATAATTAATTTTCGAATTTTAACATAGAAAATATCGAATGCGCGACAATTTCAAGAGAATTACATGGTTAACTATATAGCTATCAATGTCAAAATCGAGTTTCGGATTTACTGCAGCCAGCTTCATTGACAAGAACTGCAATAACAGAGGAACAAAACACATTAGTTTTGATTTTTCGACGAATTTTTATCATTATTGTTCCCTCCTATTTTTATTATTTGTCACTTTGGTTTAATTGATCATTGATTAAATAAATGTCGTTTTGGCTATTTTGTTCATATTTTTTCATTTTTAACCCTCCATCTAATACACAGTGTCTCTTCATATCCCATCTCCATCGTTTTCCATAACATCCATTAAATAAGGTTAATATTGGCAAGAAAAAAAAAATTTAATTAGCGTGTTGCTTCTCAAAACGACAAATAATAAAAATAAGAGGGAGTATATGGTACTCGTTTTTTGAATAAATTTTTAGTTACCTCCACTTGTCTTTGTAGAGATTGAACATAGTTGATTATCTCATCTAGCATTCCAGCTTTTCCAGTTATTTTATTGCATCCAGGGACCAAATCTTGCAAGAATTTCATTCTTTCACTTATTTTCTCCCTTCTTACCTACCCATCATCAATACAAAAAAAAATGAAAAATAAAAAAAGGGCACGAAATTTATGAACAATTAACAAAAACTGCCCATGTAAGCTCAAGATTAATGACACAACCACAACAAAATCTCAAAGGCACTACTCACAAAGTAATCACTGTAAACTTTTCAAAAGAACACATATTCTTGTATGAAACGGTCTAACGGTTAGACGTGACGGGACAGGTGAATCATAATTTTTAATTTAAAATTGAATAGAAAACCATACTCTTTCGGCCAAGCTATGGCTATCGGTGGCCTGACCTCGACGGGCCCGGACGTGGATGTAATCGGGCTTCGGGTTTTCGGATGTTTTCGAATTCTCCTTTGCATTTGCAGAGGGCACTTTTGAGTTCTTGCTGTTTGTAACAGTTGTGGTTGTGCTTTTGCTGCTGCAATTTTGCTCTGTGATTTTAGAAATCTCTTCTTTATTACACACTTTCGTTCTTTTATCCTCCGATGATGATCTTTCTGTCCCAATAACCTTAAAAAAAAAA